CTGGGGATTGAACTCAGGCCCTTACACTTGCCAAGGAAGCACTTATTCTACTGAGCCATCTTCCTGGCCCTCATTTCTAGTTTCTTTATGAAAATTTTATTTTGAGACAAGGTGTCACTAAGTTACAAAGGCCAGCCTCAAACTTGCAATCCCTACCTCAGCCTCCCAGGTAGCTGAGATCACAGGTGTGCGCCACAGCGCTGCATGTGGTGAAGTAAAGATTTTTTTAAAAGTTGTACTTAAGTGATCCGACCAGCATAACACATGTTCAGTGACATAGTTTTATCTAGTTTTTCTCAATATTAAGAATCCTTGCTTCTCATCCCCTTCAGTGCCACCATCACTGTGTATGCAACATATTGTTTCTTCTCATAGTTATAACCCCGTCCTTCCTTAAACCAGGCATTTGAGTACCATGGACACATCTTCATCTTCTAATCCTATGGTGTCCTCTCTAGACCAAAATTCTGTTAGTTTTTACTGGTAACTATCTGACTAATACAAATGAAATCAATCCAATTATAGCCACTTTCAATAAGGAAAGCTCCTACTGTGGAAAGGGGGGACCACACTATGACATACGCATACAGTTCATTATCATACATCTTTATTCTAGTCTGGCCCACGTCAATCTATATTGTTATACTAGTCGTGCTAAACATTATTCATGCAAATTAGATCTACCAACGCCGTATCCAGGTGCTGGAGCGACCCACATCCCTTACAAGTGCCTTGCTCTCCAGTGCCTTGTAATGCAAAAATGGTCCTCTTGAGATGTAACTGGGAACCCATGACTTCTTAACATCACTAAAAGCTCTCCTTTATTTCTCACTATGGCCACCTGATCCTAATGATCTGACTTGTGTCCGTCTCCAACCCTATCTCCAGACTGCTGTCCCTAGCTCACCAAGATCCTGGCAGGAAGAGTTTCTCTCAGGTCTTAGACGTGAGCTTAAGAAAATTAAATACGTTGTTTATATGAGATTCAATCATGATGGTTATTTCGATCCTTGGAGCTTGCTGTGCTGGCCCCGCCCTCAGGGAATGCTCAGACAGAAATTGAGACTGGGTGTGGTGGCGCATGCCTGTGATTGCAGCTCTTGGGAGGCTGTAAACAGGCGGATCACTAAGAGGCTGATCTAGTAGTGAGACCCTGAACACCCTGTAGACCCTTCCCTAAAATACAAATAAATAAGTAAATAAATAAATTAAATAAATAAAAAAACATGATGGTTATTATATAAAAGTGCTGACACTTGCTAAGGAAACATCAAGTTATGTCAAGAAAGACTATGGCAAGAATTAGTGAGGGTCCTAACTACAAAAGACCTACATACATGTAAGTGGCTGGCCGCTTCCTGGGACTTGGTCTTCTTGATGGGGGATGGACAGGAAAGCAGTCTTGAAGGATGCAGCAGTAAGCTTGGAAGTTAATAACAACATCTTTTACATCCGGGTCCAGGGTTCCAGAAATGGACTGGCTCTGATGATCTCTTCTTCCTGACACTGAACACAAAGCAAAAGTGTTTTCAGTTAGCATGATGATCGAAGCACTTGAATGTAAAGTCATGGCATTTTGGAAAATACGCTTTGGAGAGAAACATGGTATAAGTCAAATATATGGACCAGGCACAGAGAAATTCCAACAAAATGTATGTTTCATTAAGAAGTATACATAGTCAAGCTATCTGAACAAAAATGAATGCTTTGGAATTTAATTTAAATCAATTCTCATATATTTTTCTTTTCCAAAATTATTAAATAACAAAAATGGGAAGAAAATATACACTGGATTATACAGTACTCATTTCCTCTTCTACTGTGAAATGAAATTATCAGGACCACACATAGGCATGTTGATGTTATTTTCAAAAAATAAACTGTAAGTTCTTAATTTAATTAGACTCAAAGTCATTTCTCATAGAAATTTAGTCTCTAATCTTTTCATTCAACAAAAATTCATCAGTCCTACCAATACATGGCCCTGTGTAACATACTAAGCTGTTTTTTCACTCTTAAGAGAAAGCACTGGGCCGGGGAAATAGTTTGGTGGCCTAAGCACCTGGCTGGCAAGCACAGGGACCCAGGTTCAGCTCTCCCATGCTGCATGCTATGCAGGCCCACACAGGGAGCCACCAAAACCGGATGTGGCAGCACACACCTATAATCCTAGGGCTGGGGAGGCTGAGACAGGAGGATCACTATGTCTATTCTTGCTCTGCAGAATCCAAGCTGCATAGCAAGACCCTGTACAGAAAAAAAAAAAAAAAAAAAAAAAAAAAAAAAAAAAAAAAAAAGAGGCAAAGCATTGGATGAAATAATCACTTATGCCTGGTAACTATTTACCCAAGTAATACAGAGTACTAGTGTTTGCCTCGAGGTGCCAGTCTCCATTCTTGCTAGTGTTCCAGTTCAGTGGATTTGAAGAGCCGTTCCTCGTATCAACAACACTAAACATATCAGGGCTTTGAGTGAAGTTATGTGATACAATTACATAATCTTCTTCCTATGAAAGTTTGCAGATAAATGAGAAGTGTTTTCTACATTAACATTGTGCATAATGTTTTCTACATTAACATATACATTTAATTTTAATGACATCAAATGTAGCCTCTTATGTTGTGTCACAATGGAAGTTTTAGTTTCAATTTATTTTTTATTTTGCATTTAAATGTTTATGAACATGTGAAGTCTGATAATGTGAACTCTAAGAGTGAAGCAATGAAAAGATCTCTGTTTCTATTTTTCCTCATACATACCTACATATGTATATATACACATACATACTTCTTACATGTAAGTAGGCATGTATATGGTTATATAAAGAGAATATTTTATTTTTCTGGTGTTTGAAATATTTACAACAATACTATATAGAATGGAGGCTGTACAAATATATAAAAGAAGCAGAACAAATGTGGAAAGAAAACAGACTAGAAGTAAAGCATTGGAAATGAAAAGAAGTAATGTATTTTCTCTCCATCTATAGTTTTCTTTTCAAAAATAGAAAGTAAGGGCTGGCCAGATAGCTCAGCGGATTAAAGCACCTGCTTAGGGAGCCCCAAGAACACCCGGCCGAACCCAAAACTGGGTGTGGTGGTGTGCATTTGTAATCCCAGTGCTGGGGAAGCTGAGACAGGAGGATCGCTATGAGTCTGAGCTGCATAGTGAGACCATGCACCACATAAATAAATAAAAATAAAGTAATAATAACAATAATAATAATAATTCTCTGTATGTTTCTGTTCATGATGAAAATGAGTCCATAAGTGGTGTTTGAGATCATAAACAACGAGTAAGTTATTTTTGTGGCAGTGATAACAAGGACACAGATATCATATTATGGGAGTGTGACAGGAAGTTTGCTTACTCCTGACCATCAAATGAGGTCCTTGGGGCTAATTTCTGAGGTTGGGAGTGGGTCACAGGAAGTGCACAGGGTTGGCCGGGCCACCAGTACATAGGAGGAAGGATGAGGAGAACGCAGGCTGTGTTGACGGGCAACCACAGCTGTCAGACAACAGATTCTACAGCTCCTCACTTACCTTAAATCCATAGAATGTTGATGTATATGATATGTTGGTGATGTGCTCCATGTCCCTGAAATACCAGTTAATGTGATTGGCATTTGGAATCAATGCCATCCACCCGGACGTATGAGTCAGTCGCTTCTTCTGAAAGGGAACAATGCTAGTGCCTGGAGAAGAACATAAGACAAGCAAATGGTAGGAATCTCTGCCTTGATGAAATTCCTCCTTTTGTGAACAAATGAAAATATAAAGTACAGGTTGAGTTGATGGAAACCTCTTAACAAGCATTTTGTCACCCATGCTCAGAATAGGTTTATTTAGCTGAAAGCCCCACATGTTTTATATTACATTTAACTGGAACATAAAATGGTTCTTCAGTTGTTGGATTGATTGATTGATTAATTGATTGATTGATTGATTGATTGACTGAACCAAGAATTAGAGTCAAAATCTTGTGCTTCCAGGCAGGCACCTGCGCCACTGATAGGTATCCCCAGTTCCCACCTGATGTTTTAAATTGTGATGGAATTTTTACTCCTTAGGAAAACTTATAGTCAATGCATGATGGTAATTACAAATACTAAGACAAAACACTTAATATATTAATACAGCTCCCTAAATATCACTGAATTAAACTTAATTTTATTTCCATTCTTTAGGAACTTAATTCTTTATAATCTTTTATTTCCAATGTATATCAACATAAATTTTGATTATTTGCCTCCTCCAACTTTCAGGCTAATCAAAATCTATATAACAATACAAATTTTTAGTAATAAGAACTTTTATTGGCTTTGATGAAGTTTTGATGTAGAGCTCTTAAAGAATTAGGATATAACTAGGCCTATTGCTTCTTCGCACTAGCCATTAGGTGTAAGTTTTATGGGCAAGAAACTTGAAATCTGACCTCCCTGTTCTGGGAAAAACATATAATTTAGTCAAGCTTTCAGCCTAAGCAAGATTTTAAAAGGCCTTATGAAGAAAAGGTCTTTAATAAATTGCCCTTAGGTTTTTCCCCCTTGTTTCCCCCTGTCTGTGATCTTGGTTAGATTTTATATAAAATTAATAATTTATCTTATTTTTTATGTATTTAGTACCGGGTCTACAGGGTCCCACTACACCAATCAGATTCACGGTAATCCTCTTGTTTGCAGCCTCCCAAGCCCTAGGATTACAGGCGCACACCGTGCCCAGTCTCAGTCACCTGCGCAGTGCACCCCGGGGCCAGGGCTGGCATGACATGTCAGGGACTGAACCTGCTTCCTGTGTCTGCCTAAGGAGGCACTTTAATCTGCTGAGCTATCTAGCCAGCTCTTTATCTTAATATTTTAAGAGAATATTATAAAAACATCATTTATTTTCTATTGAAAACCTAAAGTATATTTTCCCCAAGAGGAAAAAGTGTTACTAGGTGATGTGTTGCTGTGAGTTCTGAAAGGTTCCTACACAGACGCACTGAAAACTTCCAGTGCCAAGATCACTAAAAAGCACAAGAGGCATAATAATTGCTCGAGTTGTTCTTCAGCAAGTTCACTCCTCTCCTCCTCGGAGACAAAGCAGACTTCCTGTTCTTATGCTGTGGAGTGACTTCTTTTGGACATTGGTGGAAATGACACTAGCACAGGCCTGAGAAGGGCTTCAGGAGAGATATGACTGCTTCTGCCTGTACCACGGCAAGAAGAGCTCCAGGGAGTGGCTCCCCTTGGGCTGCTGGGGGTGCAGAGGTAGAGCGGCTTGAGCTCAACCCTCAGGAGGAAGGGACCTGCAGGGGAGGCTCATGCTGAAGCACAGCGTCCCCGAGCCCAGCCTGGATGACCCAACACAGCCTTCAGGTTTGTGAATGACAAGAAATGAGTTGGTTTCAGCTATTGTGCAGCAGGACTGGCCACTGGGAAACAGTGGCCAATTTATAGACGAGCTGGTTAATGTCCTCCGGAACCCCTAGGATTTGCTCCTACATCAGCAGAACTGAACTACCTTGAGATTTTTCAAATGGATGCAACTATAGCTTCACCTTACATTTCTTAATATTTTTGTTTCACAAATAAATTTTCTTTTTTTAGGGTTTAGGCTCTTCTGAATAATTTTTAACTGCACATAATTTTATTATACTGGGTTTAAGCATCTTGGGATGAAATATAAATTCTTTGAAGTTGATCTAAAATTTAATGAAATTAGGATAAGTGTCTCAAATTAATTTGTCATCTGGTCTAACTTTATACATATACTTCCCCTGAGATATATCACCAAGTGTGAGATGCTCTGAGAAGGATATAAGGATATGTGTGAAGTTATATTAAATTACATTTTTCTTTGTTCTAATATATTATTTTACTTTTGATTTCCCTAGTTTACACTGACCATCAAAACAAGTGATAGTTTTATCTTTAATTTTTAGTGGTTAATATCAAATAGATTTCAATGAAGGTGAAGTAAAAAGTCATTTCCCTTGCTATGGAGTAGATTTTCCCCCCTGCCTTTTTAAGAAATAAGGTGGAAGGGCTGGGGAGATGGCTCAGTAGAATAAGCGCTTGCCTGGCAAGTGCAAGGGTCTGAGTTCAATCCCCGGTTCCGCAAAAAAAGAAAAAAAGAAAAGAAATAAGATGGAACTTCTGAGGGGTAGTGTCCACGGCAGGTATTTGAGTTTCTGAGAAAATACTCTCAAGGAGGAGGATTGAAGGACTCTGCTCTCTGCTCTTCTCTCCATTGTATCCTAGCCAGGAGGTGGATGGCTTTGTGCTGTCATTTCCTCCCCACCATCACCTGCTGCTTTGCTAGAAGCTCAAAAGCAATGAGGTCCATTGATCACTGCTTTCAAAACTTCAAAAGGATGAGCCAGAAAAAGCATTTTCTCCTTATAAGATGACTCTCTCAGGTTTTCATTACAGTTACAGAAAGATGACTAATGCAATAATGAACTAAAAGTAATTGCAAATCTTCCAGGGGGAAATGCAGAGATTAGCATAGTAGTCAAGACAGCTGAGTGATATAAAGGTCAGAATACTCACCACAACCTCAACTAGCTTTACTTCCAACTGATAAAGTGCGATGTGCATGGGGAATAATGATATTAAACTCAGGTAAAGACATCCCAAGTCCAGTGTCTTTACTGGTATAAACCAGTGAACCAACCAATGAATAACCTCCACACTTGGCACGGCATGCAGCTATTGGCCGAGCAAATGCTCTCTTCATACCATCTCCATCAATAGACATAAGAAATGTCTCTAGAGTTGAGAATACTGGTATATTTTTACTGTCTTGCTCAGAGATTTGTTTGTGCCAACTTGAGAAGTTTAGACAGCGGGGGCCAGGGTCCTTACTTTGTAAATATCCTGAGCTGGTGCAAGAGGAGGGCATGGAGATGGCATGTGCGGATGGCTGGCATACAATGAAAGGGACGAAGAGGGCTGGCTCAGCAGACTAAAGCACCTGCTTAGGCAGAGCCTGGTGGCTGGGTTTGATCCCTGGCCTGCCTTGCCAGCCCTGCCCCCAGGGCACGCCGAGATGGCAATTGAGACTGGGTGTGGTGGTGCGTGCCTGTAAGCCCAGAGCTTGGGAAGCTGAAAACAGGAGAATCCCTATGAGTCCCTATAGACCTTATAGAACCTGTACTAAATACAAAAAAAGAAAAAAAAAATGGAAGGGAGGAAAAGAGGCTTGCTCTCCTCCCTTCTGCTCTTGTTGCTTTTGCTGGCATCTACCACCTTACACTGTTGTCCCTCTGCCATGCCACCCTGCCTTGCAGCCAGCTGACTGTGGACTGAAACTTCTGCCAACTGTGAGCTAAACAAACCTTTCCCTTTAATTTTGGACATCAAATATTTGTCTCAGCAATGAGAGAAAAGTGACCAAGATATTTGCCAACTTTTCTGCTTTGTCTTATTATTGTCTAGAGGTACATTAGTCAGCTTCCTGACTGAAACATGCCTGAGACACAATATCTAATAAGCACATCATGAAGGAAGAGAGATTTAATTTGCTCAGTTTCAGTCCAAAGCAGATACATTGTGGTAGAAGGGTTTGGAAGAGCAGAACAATGGAACAATGATGGAGTAGAAGGGTCGAAAGACCACATGCAGATTCCCAACCCCGTTACCTCTGAGATCTGCCCAGACACACCTGGAAGTGTGCACTACCCTCCCTGCAGATTCCCTCAAACAGTCCAGGTGACATTTCATCCTAATCACCATAGACTGGAAGGTACCTGATCAATAGAATATCCTGCTGGTGCCTCCACTTATTCAATGCCCCTTAAGCACTCACTCAAAAGTTGTTTCCTGCCGAGAATCTGCCTAATACACATTGTATGCCTTTTGCAATGTTGAAAACACTAAGTAACAACTCAAGAAGATGATGAGAAAGATGTACAAAAACACAATTTAATTTGTGCTTTAAATTATTATAATCCACTTACCAAAAGAATCCGAGAGAACCACATCTTTTTCAAGTAGAGATACTGGGGAAGGTTTGTTGAAGGCTAAACGGTGGAAGCTGACAGAGGCGTCACAGACAGAGCCGGGGAACCCAATGCTCCACTGGGCCTCCTGAACACAGTGCGAAGGGTCGAGCAGTGAGCTGTGCGGAATGACTGTGTGCCCTGTGCGCCCTGGGAATGGAACAGAGCCAGAATGAATTCCACTTTACATCAGAAAATCAAAAACCCATTGTATGACTAAGAAAGTCAAAAAAATCTTGGTATATTGTTGCCTGTTTAAATGAAAGTCATACAAAGGTTTTACAGTAGAATGCCAACTAACATTAAAAACCTAAGCTGATGCCGTGCCAGCCCCACCCCCAGAGTGTGCTGAGACAGTGATTGAGACTGGGCGTGGTGGGGCGTGCTTGTAATCCCAGCTCTATGGGAGGCTGAACAAAGGCGGATCACTACAAGTCCAATCTATGTAGTGAGACCCTGCAGACCCTGTAGACCCTTACTAAAAAAAAAAAAAAAAAAAAAAAAAAATCTGAATTAAGTCAACCAGGGAAGGCTACACAAAGTTCGTATAACAGGACCCCCAAATTCTCCCTCTTCAAAGCTATAGATAAGAGGAGACAGAGGATATCAACTACAGTTGAGAGCTCAGTCCACACAAATATTCAGATTCTTTCACTTTTTTTTTCTTCCACTTTTAAAGAATCTTTCAAAAGCAAATTGCTAATAGTTTTAGGTTTACCTGTCCATTAGCTATCTCTTAAAAATAGTTCAGTAGCACACATGTACCAGCACACACACAAACACACACACACTTTCTATCTTTGATAAGTCTTTATTACTAACAATTTGTAAAGATACTACATCCTAGAAACTACAAATATTTATAGGCAATGAGACATACTCTGGACTTAAAATGCTAAAGAAAACTTAACCTTCCATGTATGTTGAATTTCTTTTCTAGAGTTAACATATTCCACAAAAAAAATCTAAAATTTGAATTTAAATTGAAAAGAAAAGAATAACAGATTTGTCACTTAATGTTACTCTGTAAAAGTAATGTTTTCTAGCAAGCCTAGGTTAAGTGTGTATTCACTCACTACTTATAGAAATAAATCTGAAATTTGCATTTTATGGATCATGGCTGGCCGGAGAATTTGAATAGCTCTCAAAGTAGTTTCTTATTTTGTAAGTAATGAAGTTGAAAATGTAGGAATTCTAAAACTGAAATTACTTATTTTTGATCAATGTTTCCGTAATTACTGCTCAAAATTTGCTGCTAATGTGAAATCAAAGTGTGTATCCAGAGGAAAGGAGCTTACTGGGGGGCTGCCTCTGAGGGTAAGCATCTGTTCTAGAAACAAATGTCTCATCTGTGCTTGGTGACTTGCTTGCTTGCAATCTCCAAGCCATTAGTGACGTCTGGTGTGGATTAAGATCAGTAACGCTGAGGAATCTACTTTAACACTTGACTGCATAAGCACAAACATGTTTCTGGCGCATTTTTATCACAAACTGAACAATAATGTTACCTGTAAGTGAGCCATCAATGTCAATTAGTACAGCTTCATGTTCCCATCGAAAGCCTGCCTTATTAGGTGTGTGAAAATACTGGATGTCGATGAATTTTGCACTCCACCCTCCACATTTGTCATGGCAAACTCCCGTGATGGATGTCACTCCCAAAGCTACGCAGTTGGGACGGTCAAAATTCATAAACTGTACAGAAGACACAGTCAGGCCCTCACTGAATGGGAGGACCAAGCCTTTTGATGTGCAAAATGCGGACCCCATTCCCAGGTCATCAAGATGACCGACAATTTTAGCATTTTTAACCACTGCTCCATTGGTTTCTCCCCATCCTCCAACATAAGGAGCTAGGATCCTCTTGGTTTCGATTCCAGCTTCATAGTTATTTATCATCACAAAATTGTGGAACTGCAGGGCCCCTCCATTGACCCACTCAGCTCCTTTTTGACAATTCCAAGTAGTAAGTGAATTAAAAACCGCAGGTAGGGGCACAGTAGAAGTACATGATCCTGTTTTCATGGGGAAATATTCTTCAAAGATCCACAGTCCAAACCATCCTTGAGAATGTACGGTATTGTTAAAAAACTCTCCAAGAGGAACTCTTTTTTGGCAGATGTTTCGGTCATAGGATGGTCCATCCGGGTGGTTGTTCATTCGATACCAAAAGCCAAAGTGAGTGCCGCCAGCAGCTGCATTGTGCCGTATGGTGTTGTTTGGGTTAGTCACCCAAAATGCCGCAGGTGTCACATCATCATTCAGAAGGCTAGTGCTTTGCTGAACAAATACAGCCAAGTTATATTGCAGAATATTGCCATGTTCGATACCATCTTCTATAAAAAATGCTCCTCCTTTGATGTCATAGATAATATTCTTCTCAACCAGAAGGTGATGTGTGTTATGGATAGTAACAGCTCTGTTATAGGACTGGTGAATGGCACAGCCTCTTACGTAAGATTTGAACTGCAAATCTCCAAGTAGGTGCCAATGTATTGGATATCGGCCCAGCCGGAAAGCCTGGCCAGCATGGAATACCTGTCAAGTTGTGAAATCAAAGCTGTTTAGCAGTTCATGCAGACACACAACTTGCCTGGCTCCCCCTCTCTTGTTTCAAAACAATCTCCTACTTTATATAAATTATTCATGTACTGGTATCTCCCATATCATTCATGTTTGCCATTTTAAAAGATTATTTTAATTTTATTTTACACAATGTATTATACAAACATACTTATTAGGAAATGAATGAATGAATGACAATATCTTCAACTCTTTTGCTCTTTAACCTCTTCTGCTAAGCTTTTATGTTTTACAAAACAAATCCTCTTTTTTTTGGGGGGGGGGGAGGCAGCTCAGCCCACGCTGGGGGTGGGGCTGGTGCGGCATATGGTGTGAAGGATTGAACTTCGGTTCCTGCGCTTGCCTAAGGAGGCGCTTTAGATCGCTGAGCTATCTCACCAGCCCCATAAAATAAAACCTCTTAAAAGACTTCTTCCTCTCTTATACTTTGATTCTTGCATAAAAAGAAGCACTTTTGAATGTCGTCTCTGTGCCCAACAGTGTGCGATTGTTTCTTCACCTTCATGACCACTGTCTACAACAATTCTACATGTCACCACTAATCATTACCATCATCTTATGGATGGTGAAACTGAATTTTAGAAAGGGTGGGAAACTTGCTCAGTTAGAAAGCTCCATTTAAAATCCAAGTTGGTCTGATTCTGGTGTAGGTTTTCTTCCTGGCTACTCTGCTATACCTTTTTTTCAAATGTCTATGATCTAAAAATCCAGTATGAAAAATGTCAATCTAAGTGAAAATATATGTCTGTGTTTAATATGTGTTAAGATAAGATATTGGAGGGCCAGCCAGATAGTGCAGCAGATTAAAGCAGAAGAAGGACCAGGGTTCAATCCCCAGCGTGTTGTGCTGACCCTACCCCCAGCGTGTGCTGAGAGGGCGATTGAGACTGGGCATGGTGGTGTGTGCCTGTAATCCCAGTGCTTGGGAGGCTGAAAACAGGAGGATCACTATGAGTCCCATCTGTGTACTGAGACCATGAAGACCCTGTACTAATTACATTAAAAAATAAAATTAAAATAAAAAGATAAAACATGGGATCATTTATTTTCATTCTCCATCTAAAACTAAAAAAAAAAAAAAACTATTAGTAATATTTATATACAGACCTAACCTAATACAGAGTATAGCTCAGATGTCACCTGTGTGTAATGTATTTTAGGAGAGGAGTATTCCAGAACAAGGGTGTTGATTCTTTTGTTATCAATGCAGACACAGAGTGCCCAGGATAGGTTTATGGATATTACCTTTATGTCTCCATTTCTCTTTGCCTCCCCACTCTCCCCTCCCTTTCTTTCTCTTCCCTACCCTCCTTCCCTCCCTTGCTTCCTTTCTTTTGTTGTTTCACTCAATATTTGATACAAACTAGATGAAACCTTAATTATATAGACCTAATATTAATAAAATACAGAAGAGTTCTTAGGGATGACACTTAGGGATGACATGCATACTTATTTGTCTCTGTCTTTGTTTGTTCAACAAATACCCATTTGAGAATAAATCTACTTCATGTCTTGTGTTATTGTTCTAGCCAAAGGGTCATCAGCTGAGAAATCAAAAGATAAAAAGCTTTGAAGTAATTGTGCTTGCATTCTAGAGGGAAAGGTTGAAATTAAGTAAAAGTAACTGTTCTATTAAGAGTTTGGGTAAATAAAAGACAAAAATGTTTGGGTAGAAATTTCAAACAAAGGTGGTAAGGAAAGGGCTGCCTCCTGAGATGACATGTCAGAAGAGCCTACCTGGAGTGAGAGTGTGTTCCACACGAGTTTTCGAGGAAGCAGCATTCTAAGTGGCACGCAGAGCAAGCATGAAGAACACAGGACAGGAGTGTGCCTGACAGTCACAATAAGGAGATCCTCGCAGCACATTGGGAGCACAGAACACAGTCATAGAAGATGAAGTGAGAGGACGGCTGGGGTCAGTTCATTTTGGTCCCAAGGAAAAGATGTAAGCTTTCTCTTTTGGATGTAATAGGAAGCCACTCAAATGTTTAGAATAGGGATGCAACAAGACCTGATTTATTCTTTCAGCAATTTACTTTGGCTGCACTGTGGAGACAGCACTGGAGCACAGGAGGATGCAGGAAGATGAGTTAGGAGGAAAGCAGTCATGCAGGTGAGGGATTCTGGGCTTAAAGCTGAGAATCAGGTAGAAGTAGTGGAGGGAGAGGGAATCCTACAGTCATTATTTTGTGGATGTAAGGCTAGAATTTGCTGATAAAGTTGATATGGGGTGTGAGAAAAAGAGAAACAAAAATTTGGCATGATTGGAAAGGTAAATAACTGAATTCATTAAAATTGTTCACTTACCCATGTCCCCTACCAGATTACCAATAGAATAAGCCAAGTAGCAGGTGTTCAACCCCATTCATTGAATGGATAACTTTACTCAAGCCACTGCGACTTGGTCATAATGCCTCTTACCTCTACATACTCTATTCTTCCCGTTACCATGTTAGCACTAGGCAGGGGCGCATGAAACATTATGCAACCTCCAAATTGGTCACTTCCTATTTCTTCTCCAAATTTTCCTTGCAGACACGTCTGTGTAGCAAATTCACCTTGAAAAATATTATGAAATAAGGGTGATACTGAAATTCTAATAAAGATTTTTTTCCTCATACCTAATTGTATCTTTCTACTCAAATGCATTTACAATATTTAAATGGCAATGGAATAGCCATCTCTGACAAAACTAAATAAAAAAAGGGGATACAAATGAAGGACCATTTTGTATCTGTATACAGAAAAGAGTTAGGATAGATACACAGCTACTTTCTCTTAGTCCAATGAGAAGAAAGATTTGTACTAATAGTGTTTGGACAGGATGTAGTGTCTGCACCCTGTATAATGAATAACTACTATGAAGACAACAAAATGCAATGTATTAATCATTGAAACTGTCCTACTAATCGGTTTTGAAACTATCTCATTGCTATTTGTTTCTCAATAAAATTAAAAAATTTTCAGTCTCTTCCTAATGCATAATTATATGCATTTATATCATTGCTCTTCCAGGTACTAAGAAGGGTGAGTAGTTGCCTTGTTCACATTTGCACGCCCTAAAGTACTTAGTGACAAACATTTGAGAAGGTACTGAATACATATCTGAATGTTTGAATGAATATTGATACAGTTACATTAATTTATTGTTTCTAGAGGTTTTCTGTCAAATCTGAGGATTAATCAATCCTCAAAACAATCCTGTACTTGTATAGCACTAGAATATGAATTTCTATTGCTTAATTCTTGCAGGCATAGTAAATGAGAACAAGAAGTAATATTATTTTAAACAGTTAGAACCCAGATTCACACACATGTGAAACTTGATGCAGTTGACCTGGAATCAGAAAATCAAGTCATCTGGTAACAAGTTCAATGAGCTTTGGCTCATACTACCTGTTGAAGTAAAGGTTACTACCTAAGTTACAGCTGCCACTATGTAAATACTTGTAGATTGTCTGAGATTAATGACTTTATCAACAGAATCCAAGTACACTTATTTCCCCATCCAATGTTGACATCAGTCATTTTTCTTCATAGATTATACACATGTTTAATTTATCAAAACACTGTTGGTTCTTCCAAGTTCCCACATTTAACCTTTGCAAAGTAGATTAGCAAGTTGAAACTAACATAACACAAGGGCTGGAGAGATAGCTCAGTAGAATAAGCACTTGCCTGGCAAGCACAGGGTCCTGAGTTCAATCCCCAGTACCACAAAAAAAAAAAAGAAAAAAAAAACTAAAATAATACATTGAAAATATAAACCAAATTTAATTTTAAGTTAGATGTAATTATGTCAGCCACGTGACAGCTGCGAAAGTTACCTGTGTCGAATCCCTTAGGACATGCTGGAATTTTGTTATTCCAGTCCACGTTCTCAGACCCTCTTATTATGATATTTCTTGTAAGAACCCCAACTTCTGCTCTTGCTTCAAATGCAGTTCCATCAGGGAGCGTGATGGTGATTCCTAAGTGCGTGTAGTTCAATGGTTGAGTTAGTGTTATGTTTACACCATCAGCCGATACAGATGCAATGGTCCTTTTTTCATTTTCTCGTTGGCTGTGTCTATAAAAATTTTAACAAAACAATTTCAAAGTTAATATAAATTAACATTTAAAGATCTACTTAGTTCCTATATTAAGGTTTAATATTTTTCTTTCAGAATGAGGTTAAGTAACAATTTAAATAGTATGAGGATATATAAATGAACATCCATTCAGATAATACTTTACTGCTTAAAAGTAGCTACCTAAGGAATAGTTTGCATGCAATGAATATAGTTTATGTTTAAGAGACACCATCTTAAGCTTCATAACATTGATTTGACATATTTGTTTTATGCCATTTCAAATACTTCATTTGCAAAATAAAATGTCATGCAATCTTTTGAAGAGAGATTAAGGGCAGTATTTTATTATTTCTTAAATAACTGAATAACTTTTTTACAGATCTATTTCTTTCTTTTTCTTTTCTTTTTTTTTTCTTTTTTTTTTTTTTTGGTGGAACCAGGGATTGAACTCAGGCCCTTGAGCTTGCCAGGGAAGTGCTTATTCCACTGAGCCATCTCCCCAGCTACAGATCTATTTCAATTAGCTTAAATATTTTTCAAGTGCTATATTTGTTTATAAAACTGTACTAGCTTCTAAAGAATATTGAAAAGAACTGTTCAGTTATATGACTTTAAAGACCATACTCAAGAGTTTCTCAAACGAGGTTGATTTTATTCGCTCCCAATACTTAGGTATATTTTTGATTGTCATACTAGGAGGTGCTATTGGCATCTAGTGGGTAGGAAAAAGGGAGATTTTTAAGAATTAAAAGTATAATATAGTATAAAGGATGACCCCACACAGCAAGCATTATCTAGCATAAAATGTGAGCTATGCATTAGCGGGAAACTTTGATAAAAGCAAGTCCCTCGAGGTTCCCGAGCAAGGAAATCACTGACTGAGTTGAAGGCTTACTTCCATCACTGCTCCTATATGCCCCAAAGCCAGTCACAATAAAAGGGACTTCCAAATTCCAAGCTGTACATATTCAGACACTTCATCACTCAGCGAACACTGAGTGTTTAGCACACATTGCAGGTACAAAGCAAGCACTGGCGGTGCTGGGTAGAGGTGCTCCTAACTTTGAAACAAATGTGTCAGTGGTTAATTGTAAATCTGCTGAGGTATGATTGGTGCTAGCCACACAGGCAAGCTCATGGGAGTTACGTATGTCCTCCCAAACGTTCCCTTGTGACTATAGTCTCCCTTGTGAATAATTTTTATTCTGTAGGTAGCATTCCCAGGGAAAGTGGCACATGTGAAGTAGATTAAAAGTCAGCTCTCTCAACTTTCTAACCCTGTGGGATTACCCAAATACAAATGTCCCACTGGGACTGAGCAGTGGCCCTGCAGCCTTGTGAAATATATACTACTCCATCCCTCCCACTGCTTGGTGGCTCCTCCAGGCAAAGACCCATTGAATTATTTTCTATGCTGAGCACTTAGCACACTACCTGTCATAACACAACAACAAAATCTGACTGATTGACAAATTAATACAGAACGAATTTGCCTGGGGGAGAGAAATGGAATGAAGCCTAAATAGGAGGATGATGTCTGAGCCACTCGAGAGTCCAAATTAAACCCAGAGCAGGAGAAGGCGATGGGAGGGACACTTCAAGGAAGAGCCAAAGAAACTTGGAGATGTGCTGGAAACATATGAAGATTGCAACTGGAAGGTCACGGAGAAATTCTGAGGGGGAAAACAGTCAGACTGGAGGGGTTTAAAGAGGTAAAAGGATTGGAAGAGGAAACAGGTGAATGGGCATGTAATATTTGGGCAGCTTACTAACTTTCAAAATAAATAAGAGTGACAGAGGGAGAGAGGAAGACAATGTTGTTTTCAGGATGATGAGTAGTCAGAGAAAACCAGAATCCCAAAAATTCCAGGGAATGAAGTGTGGTGGAAGGGGCTGGGGAAAGATGGAGATTCAAGATGTTCAGTGACTGGCTGGCCCGTTCTACAGGGCAGGATCTCAGAGGCTGGCCGAACAGGGGATTCAGGTGGTCTCGTCTCAAATTCTTTGAGATCTGCTCATATAACATCTCCTTTATAAATGTGCTAAAAGTCATGTTACATACATCCTGCTCCTAAATGTGTTTTTCTTCCCTCTGTAATAATACCGAATGCACATAAAGCACCTACTGTGAGCCAAGTTCTGCTCTGAGTTCTTCCCACACATTAACTCATCGAATCTTTACAATAAGTGTATGTCACAGTTATTAAGAGCACTGCGATTCTACTGAAGGACAGAGGTGAAACAGCACAGTGTCGGGGCTGGTAAGAGGCATTGTCAGGGGTGAAGGCAATTGAGTGACTCGAAAAGTGATTCCCTTGGTGTCCTGCTTTACAAACTCTAGGACAGGATTCACCAATGAAATAAGGATTCGCCAATGAAATAAGGAAAAATGTAATGTATATTTGGTTAAAAAAAAAAAGAAAGCCTCATTAATTCTTGTTAAGAATATTCTGATTCTTCCTAAAAGTAAATAGCCCTGTGCTAGATTATAAACTAACACTTCTGTCCCTAGAGAAGGGTTATGAATGAAGCTTTTCTATTCTGTTAATAAGCCTGTGACTTTCTTCATTTTTAATTCTACCATTCCACACTGAATATTTCTTCCAATGGCAGAAAAACAGGCCTTTGCAAAGCCAGGCCTATCTTTAACTCTAACATCTGTGGGCCTATTTTTAAATTGGAAAACAGCAACCTGAAAATGTCATCTTGAATTTTTGTTTTAAATTGAGTCATGACCTGAGCATACCTGTTCCTTGTCATAAATTACTAGTTGTTTCCTGATAAACACAACCATTTCCAATCTCAATATTATCTATGATTTGAACATTAAAGCAAAACTAAGTCTCCTCTTTGCTCCACTCCCTGGCATAACTACATTAAATTTTTAAATTTTCTTATTTATTATAATATACAACTAAACAAATTAAGGGTCACAGGCAGTTTCCACTTTAAAATGTCAGCCCTTAAAAGGTTATGTCAATCTTCACTCAATCAATAATGATTTCTTCCCTTTTACTTATTAATAAAATACCATTTCATGGGAACAACTGTCAGGACTGTAAGATAAGGAAGAATTTACTACCTACTCTCCCTCTCTGTGGCAACATCAAACAAAGAAGCTCATTTACATTTTTGCATTCATGAATGTATGTAATTAAAGCTCTTAAGTCAGATGCTTTCAAATGACTCTTAATAGCAGAACATTTTTTTATAATGAAGCCTTATGCAATAACCTAACCATGTAAAACAAATAAAATATTTTACTGTATGTAATTATTTTAGAGACTCAGACTTGTATTTCTCATTGGAATTCCAATCGCTCATCACCCAGACGTCACGCTGGCTGTGTGCACTTCCTTACTAGACTGTCAGCCGTCTGAGTCCTGATGCCCTTTACATGTAAGCCTAGAAGTCATCTCACCTGTGTCCCGTGCTTGCAATTACAATGGAATCTCCCGCTTTCCACGTCACTGCGTCGTGCAATATCAAAGTCCTTGTCCCTGCCTCTGCCGTCCGAGCCAGCTGAGTCCAGACCACAGGAACTGGCAAACCTAGAGCCAACACACAACCGGGTGTCTCCCCAACACGCACTCCATGCTACGGAGAGGGCTGGTCCTGTTCATCTTTTTCCAGATTAAATTAATTTTGGGAAGGTTCATTTTACACTAGAATTTTATTCTCAGATCGTAGAAGAAATAAAAAGAATGGGCTAACTTCGAAAAAGTAGCCATTAAGTTTGCAGGAATACATGGTTCTAGAAAATTAGAGCAACTACCTTTGCAGTGTTGTGCTCTATTCATGACAAACTTCTTCCTAGAAACCCAAAGTAAATGTGGGGTGAAAAAAATGAATAAAAGTAGAGTGATCACACTCACAAAATTAGCAGATGCTAACTCCCTTTGTCATTGTTTACAGGAATTGTGTAAACTGACAATCTAGAAATAAATATGTGTAGGTGTCTAGGGAGTTTTAGGATTATATACAATTGGCACAAAGTAGAACATTTATGATAAAAAGTATCTTGTTCAAGGACTTCTACATTTATAGAAGGAATAAATTATTATAACATAAAAGACTATTAAAAAAGGGATCACTTCATGTTTCTCAATAATGTTACCCTGGTACCTCAAGCATAACAAAAACTTTTTGGGGGTTGTACTGGAGACGGAAGCCAGGGCCCTCACACTGAACTGTATCTCTTGTCCTTTTCATTTTTCCTTTTTGAGAGAAGGGCTCATGGAGTCGCCTTGGCTGGGCTCAAATTTACGATCCTCCTGCCTCGGCCCGCCAGAGTGCTGGGATTCCGGGCAGGCACCACTGCAGCTAGCAAGCAAAGTTGTTTTTATTTCTGGACAATATTTTTGGCATATAGCTATGGGCAGGTGTAGCTACAAATTTATTTATATACCCTAGACAAAGCCCACAAGATACAAACGTCAGAAATCACGGCCTTCAACTTCTAGATTTAGTCTTTTCATAGAAATGACTGAAGCTAGGCTCAGAGCAACAGAAGACAAAGGTGTCCAGGTGGGGATGGTGTCCGATGGCCAAGAATGAGAAGCGACCTTGGGGCCAGTCTAGAGAAACGTACAGGGCTGGCCGGGTGAGAGGGAGAAGGGGAAGGGGCCGGCCCAGCTCCATACCGTGCAGGTCCAGCGTGCCCTCGCGCACCGCCAGCGTCTTGGCACCGTAGACCGGGAGCTCCGGGGAGCGCGGGTGGCCGTGCAGGGTGATGACCGCCCGGTGCCGGAAGGGCGCCGCCTCCGTGCCCACCTGCACAGATTGCGGGAGCCGCGTTCAGAAAATACAGATCCACAGCCGCAGTCCTTACCACGCTCAAGGAGCTTCACCTCCTCTTGGGAGAAGTCTGCATTCAGTTGTTCTTGACTTTGTTGCAAAATACAACCTTTACATTTTCTAGGCAGCCAAATGCACTGTGCTGGACCTTTCTACGGGTTGATTCTACCCACCGCTCAGAGCTGGTTTTTGCTTGGCTCTCTTTTAAATTGTGCTATCCTATAATATATGGTTATATTTTCGTTAAAATGCAAGAATACGCTGGGAAACCCCTCCCCCAGCAGCAATATTGTCCTCATAACAAGGCCCTCAGCAAAAATAAATGTAGAAAAGGTCGGTGTAATTATATATTTTATACAGAGTGTTTGAAAAACAAATGCCAAGAGGTTAGCGATAAATAATATATGTCCCGTTCAGGGATACCTGCAGAATGCCTCCGTCGGTAATCAGAATATTTTCTGCCTGGAGTTCAATGTCAGCTTCATCAAAGATTAGAGTTCCACCTGTGAATCACACAATTTTTAAGTATATCACTAAAATGTGTTATTAAAATATTTAATTGCTGATCTCTGTCTTGCTTTCTGTGCATACTACTTCTGCTCTTTGGTAATATAAAAATGTAAACAGGTCAAGACTGAGAGTAGGGGGCTGGGGAGATGGCTCAGTAGAATAAGTGCTTGCCTGGCAAGCGCAAGGGCCTGAGTTCAATCCCTGGTCCTCCCTAGCAACCCCAAGAAAGACTGAGAATAGATAGAAAAGCAAACTGTAGGCAGATTATTTTATCTTAAAAAGTTACTATTTCAAATGTTACAAAGTAGCGGAGTTACCAAAGTAAATCCTACAAGTATAGAGCTTCAAAATATAAATTAAGAATAAAACAAGGTTAAAGGAAAAGACACACAAACCATGATAACACTAACAATAGGACTTAATTGTTACCCACTAACTTGCATTAGTAACAGCTGCAGTTTGATTAACACTATTAAGAAAGTACTAAGATGCAATTTTGTGTGACTGATGTAATAGAGACAGTAAAACTCTGTTTAAAGACCCGATACTTAACAACTTTGGATTGCTAAAATACTGCTGTGATCCCAGGTGTTAGATGACAGCAAAATTACAGAAGTCTTTGAGCAGCTAAAATCATTTGGGCAAAGTTTACACAGTAACCTCCAAGCGCTCTTCTCTTAGCACATAAGGTTTCTTTCACATGTAACTGTGACAGTCGTGTGTTTTGTTGTAGTACAAACATGATCAAGTTGCAGAGAGCCCCAGGTAACCACTAAAATTAGGTTTACATATAAATGATAACCACAACACGCTTTGCTGGGGCTATTGGGATTGTTTAGGAGAGACTTTGAAAACTTGTTATGATTTTACAACCATTGAGATTTGCCATATCAGCAATCAATGCTATTTTCTATTTCTTTTACTTTTTAAAATATTTTATAAAAATGCCAGTCTATGGGCCTGTTCAGTGCCTCCCCTCCTGTTATTGAAATACAAGCTTCCTAAAAAAAATAATAATAAAAAAGAAAGAAAGAAAGAAAGAAAGAAAGAAAGAAAGAAAGAAAGAAAGAAAGAAAAAGGGTCCAGGGAGATGGCTCAGTGGAATAAGCACTTCCCTGGCAAGTGCAAGGGCCTGAGTTCAATCCCTGGTTCTGCCAAAAAAAAAAAAAAGAAATAAAAGCTTCCTGAGACAACATTTAACTAGAAAAGATACTGACCCATATGTGTGGAGTGCACTTTGATTATTTTCTATTCTATTCTATTTATAAAATGCTGATTGCAATGTGTTAAAAACTATAACCATGAATAAATTATAATATTCAATTTAGAAAATGTAAAACTATTCTTTATATTAAAGACATAATACCACTTTGAGTGGTTCATAATTATGAATTTTGATTAAGTTGACATCATAGAAGTAGGCAGGGTACTACAATTTACGGAAATTTACCCTGAATAAGCAAGACTTTCAGAACAGGCGTGCTTTGGTCCAGCAAAAGTATCTGTCCTTTTGTAATCACAGCAAGGGACCCTTCCTCTGGGGGAGGCTTTCCCCCCCATGAGAAGTTGGAGGACCAAGCATCAATGTAGAGGAAGTCAGTATTCTCCTGCAATGGAAGGTGAGAGAGTATAAAATTTACAAGACATATTAGATTTTTTTCAATTTCCTAAAGACATATAAACAATAAATATTCATATTAATAATAAAATACAACCTATTTTAAATATACTATATCTTCCTCTTGGTTAATTTTATGGTAATACTAAAAATCCATTACCAATTATACTACAACCCAGAGTAATCTAAAAAACATAAAAATGTCAGTAAGAAGCAATGAAAGTATAAGCTACTATAAATTTAGCATAGTCACATTTTAGCTATTTTTTGTAGGTGTTAAAGTAAACTATTCATTCCCTATCAGCCCACCTACCATAACACTAACTTTTGTATTATTGCAATTACTACACTAGAAGTGCTATTACCATTTTAGCCAGGCCGATATTTCTGATGTTGACATGGACGGAAGCCCACCCCGAAGGACTATGAGCATTTGTCACACAGATGATATATGTCTTGTTGGAATACTCAACATCACATTTGGCTTCAGCAATGGTGATGTGAACATCCTGTGGATTTTCACTGTAAAGAGACAATGAAACATTTGTGTCTTTCTCAAATTTCTACTTGTCATCATCAAGCCCCTTTATTCATAGGTTTTTGTGAAGGACGTGATATTGCCTTACGATCCGTCCGAGTTCAGATGGGCTTGTTTTCAATAGTAAGACTTGGAAATATTTGTTGAGAAAAAGACAAAGGGATTGCGTGATCAGCAGAAGGAACTACATGAAGTCCCAAGTGCTCTAGGGCTGAAGGAACACAGCCTGGGTCTGAATTGTTGAGAGATTCCTTGTTGGCCCCCAAATGGGTATTTTTATAAAAGACTTTCAAGGGTCAATTTGTCTGACATTTTTGTTACATTCACAGATCTTTGGACTTAATCCGCATTTAAAATGCTAGACCTAAGTAATTATAAGTGCACAAGAAATTAAAATTGCTTTTTATGGTTTATTTTGAAATGAATGTCATTATTGAGGAATGATGACAGCATAGTGTAGGAGTTGGAGCAATAAACAATAAGGGTTAGGAAAGAATAAACCTGACCAGTGACAAAGGAGGAAACCGAACTAGAGACGGTGGGAAAAGCTTAACAGAATGGTGATTCTTGTTTGTGATTTTTTTTTTATACTAGGATGAGACAAGTGACTTGATCTCTCTCTCTCTCTCTCTCTCTCTCTCTCTCTCTCTCTCTCTCCTTTTTTATTCTTTTTTTATTTTGTTTCTTTTCTTTATTTATTTGATACAGGGTCTCGCTATACAGTTCAGACTCCTAGAGATCCTCCTGTCTCAGCCTCCACAGCACATGGGATTGCAGGTTTCAGGGCTGGCACAGCACACCTAGTTCCAGGGCTGGGACAACATGTGGTACCAAGGATCAAACTCGGTTCCTTGTGCTCTCCAGGCAAGTGCTTAGACCACCAAGCTATCTCTCCAGCCTGACTTGACCTCTATAATCTTCATCTCCTAAACATTAGAGATGTTTCATCCCTTTATGGAATGAAAATATTTCATAAAGGAGGACACAAGATTTCTGTGGGTAGAAAGACATGTGGCATCAACAGCCCAATGAAGTTCTGCTCTCCAGACTATTTGTGCCTCGGCAGTGGCTGTCGAGCAGAAAGGCTGGCATTACAGGACTATACTTAAGCCATGTCCTGGCATAGCAGAGAGCATGCATGATGTCTTGAATGTGCACACATGCCAGAACTTGTATGTGTGCAGGTGGTACCTGAATCCTGATCCCAGCACTGAAAGTCTGGTGCCTCCTGCTGTGCTGCCTCTCGTGGGAGATATTTCAGTGACAAGTGGGGTCAGTGCCATCTTGTAAGTGAACAGAGTCGTGGACCATGAGGAATCTCTCCCATTGACTACACTCACTTCGCACGCTTGGTCAGGTCCCACACCTATGAGAAGAAAACTTATCACATTTCTGCTGTCAGGTACTTGCTCATTTATAGAACCTTTGCATGTTTTCAATAACATCTTCCTTTTCCTTCCATCACATCTAATACACACAAGCTGTATGAGAAGAAATAAAAACCTCAATCCATAAGCAAAAGAAAATATTGCAAACTTCATGCACATTATGCTTTTGGGGTTTTTTTTTTTTGGGGGGGGAACCAGGGATAGAACTCAGGCCCTTGCACTTGCCAGGGAAGTGCTTATTCTACTGAGCCATCTCCCTGACCCCCTTCACGCACATTATGAATGGAGTAAAAATTCTTAGACCCTTGGAACCTCCTATGATAGACAATTACCTAAACCATCTGTTTAATTTTCCAGTCTTAGAAGGACACAGGCTTGCAGTTGGGAAGAAGGGAGGAACTTCTGGAAATAGGCACAGCAAGAGCAGAAGGACAGACAGCAGAAGGCAAGGGAAGATACAGAAAACCCTTAGAAACTCCATATTAAAAACATGAAAGAGGAGGAGCCCACAACCCATAAGTCTTGCCAAATCTCCATGGCATTGCTACGTGTTTCTATCAGGACACAGGGGCTAGTGTTGAAACGCTAAGTAAGCCCAGACCTGAAAAGGTTTCATTTTTATCAGCACCCTTTCTAAACAGAACCCAGTTGTACAGGAAATAGTTCTTAGAATCAACAAATAGGTTCATATCAAAGTAAAATAATTCTATATAGCAAAAAAAAAAAAACAAAAAAAAACAAGCAATAGAGTGAAAAGAAAACCTACAGAATGAGAAGTTGTATGCCAATTTCTTAGAGGTTTCATGTCCAGACTATATAAAGAATGCAAAAAATTAGGTCCCCTCAAAGACAAAAATCAAAACATAGGTCAATGAACACACACTTCACAGAAGAAGTACAAATAGCCAATAAATATATGAAGAGATATTCAACATCACTGACCATTAGAGAAATGCAAATTAAAACAACACTGAGAGTCCATCTCATCCCAGAAAGAATGGCTATCATCAAGAAATCAAATAAAACAAGTTCTAGAGAAGCTACGAGGAAAAGCAAACCCTTCTACACTGCCAAAAGAAATGTGAACTAATATAACTGCTAAAAAACTAAAACTAGAAATCCATGTGAGCCAGCTATTGCCCTTCTAGGCGTCTTCCCCAAAGAATTAACCAAAAGGGAATTGCGATTGTGCTATGCACAGGGAGCGACTCCAGACAAAGAAGGTAAATGCTGTGTACTGCAAACACTTACCAAGGAGCGGAAACAGAAGGAAGGGAAGGGAAATAGCGTGACAGGATGTACTAAGATGCGTACGTACACATACCAACTTCCCACAAAGAATGTGAACGTTACATGCTACAGGCGTGTACCAATGAACTAGAGCTTTGACTAAAGTGGTAAACAAATAAAAATAATAATAGAAGTAAATCACATGTCATATTTTTATATCATTCTGTCTACTTTATAGATGAAGAAACTAAGGCACAAGGAAGTAAATAACCTGTGCCAAAATATACAGTGTATTGGTCCTTGGCAGTGTACCCACCTCCTCTCTTATGCTCAATAAACTGAAAGATTCAGTTTATGAGTTTATGTCATAAGCTAAAAGTCTTTAAAGAACTGTAAATTTAGAAAGCAAAGCTCTGAATAAATTACTTAAAATCTGAATGTTACTTAAAATTAAAGTTCTAAACAAAATACTTAAAATTAGTAAAATTGGTACTTAAGTTACTTTAAAAACTACTTGAAATAAATGACTTAACTTCAGAAAATATACTTTAACTCCTGAAAAAATTATTAACTTAGAAAACAAAGTTCTGAATAAGATGCTTAACGTCAGACTCAAATCCGACAGTCATAACAGTGATCCAGTGATTCCCAAAGAACCGAAAACTTAAAACAGAAATGTAGACAGTGCCAGTTATAAAGTCAACTATCGCTATTCTTTTTGTGTGTCAACTTACCTTCACTAGGTGGAGTTTCACAGAATAATGTTGTGTGGTCAGATCTGAGTCTATCAATTGCACATTTTGAGCTGCAAATCAAGATGACGGAATCTTGCGGATTGAACCCGGCACCTGTCACAGTCAGGATTTGGCCACCACCAAAGCTCCCTGGTGACAGAAAAAAATTTCCTCCATGCACAGTTGCTTAAATTAATCTTAAAACCATAAGTGGCAAAAAGTTACATTAAATGAGTTTTTAAGATCCAACATTTATGATGAAATATAATTAATAAAATGTCTTTCAATTGTAGTGTTTAAAAATCTTCACTGAGTAAATGTCTCACCTGTTAAGTTATGTAAACTATTTTGAAGAAATAAACTTTTACTTGAATTTTTTGTAACAAAAATTTCAGAATAGTCAAAACATAAGTACAATTATAATTTAATTGTGTACACTAATTTCACTTTAAGATTTTTTAACCATTAAAAAATTTTCAATGAGAAAAGTATTATTTCTTAGAGAATAATAACATGTCAATGCTAGCTAAACACGAGTTTTTTAAAAATAAATTCCATGTTAAATCTGGTCCCTTTTTTTTCCATTTATGTATTTGGTACAGGGTCTCACTATGCAGCTCAGACTTGTAGTGATCCTCCTGTGTTCAGCCTCCCCAGCCCTGGGATTACAGGTGTGCACAACCAGGCCCAGACTTTGTCACCGGCTCAGCACACCCGGGGTGGGGCTGATATGGCATGCTGGTCTGGGGATCGAACTCTGGTCCCTGTGCTTGCCAAAGCAGGCACTTAGTCCTCTGAGCTATCTCACCAGCCAGTCCAGTCATTTTAAGTATGGCCAAATTGTAAAGAAAATACATAGTACTAACAGACATAGAAGGCATTAGTCAATATTTTGAAATAATTACTCCTTTGGTGGCCTTTTTTTGTGCTAAAGTAAGAAAATCTTTAGTGCAATATAAAATAAGGTATTAGACATCATAGTATCAGAATAACTTGATGGAAATGATTTGTTATTCTTAAGAACACATCCTTTAATATAAAATACAGCAGCTACTGACAAATCATCACAGCAGCTGGGTTTAGGCAGCATTGAGTCCTCATAAGTCAGAAGAGGCAGGGATGAAAATTATTCAGAAAATCCAAGAGATCTTCTGATGCAGTAATGAAATAGAAAGTGCTTAACAGGGCTGGGCAGAAAGCTCTGCAGTGTAAGCATCTGCCTGGCAAGTACAAGGTCCCAAGTTCGATTCCCAGTACCACATGCTGTGCTGGCTCCACACACAGCTCCAGCCACCAAAACCGGGTGTGGTGGTGCATGCCTGTAATCCCAGCCCTGGAGAGACTGAGACAGGAGGAGTACTACCAGTCTGAGCTGCGTAGCAAGACCCTGTACCGAATAAACTAATGAAAAAAAGAAAGTGCTCAACCATAATCATGGCTGCACAGCACATGCAATCCCGATAGGATCTCTAGCAAATAGATAAGGCGTCTGTTCACGTCTGTCCTCACACGCCCTTTCCTGCATCTCGGCAGTCCCCACAGATTCTTCAGGGGTACTCTGCTCACAGTGGGCATCGCTGGAAGCTGCGCTTTGAATGTGCAATTTTATCTCATTCATGAAGCAGCTTCTGCAGGTCAGTGCAAAGGACCCAGCGAAACCAAAATCCTGCTCATGAGACAACACAGAGCTAGGAGCCGGCTTGAGTCTTCAACATGGTTGGAAACACCCAGCATCGTTCACAGTGAGGCTGGCACTCCTGGGGCCTTGGCTCTGTCCCTGCAGTAAAGACCTCAGAGGACAGACAGACGTCTAAAGCACATAGTAAAGGAGCTTACTAGCCAGGAGAATAAGACAAAAATTAAACACATAAAACAATTATAGAGCCAAAATAACACTGATACTTAGTTGTTCAATCATTTCCTGTGGTTCCTTGAGGAAAGGTTTGCAACCATGTGATGTGACACTTCACATAGCAAAAGGCTTCACAGGTGACATCACATCTCAAGGGTTCACTTATACCTGAAAATTTATGTAACCCCAAATGAATCCATTTTTATGTTTGTTTGTTTGGTTGGTTTTGGGTTGTTTTTTTTTTTTTTTTGGAAACAGAAGTCCTTAGAAGTGAGCCCAACAAAACGCAGGCCCAGACAGGTTTTTTTCTTTAGCCCTTTAGCATAGCTGTTCTGTCTATACCATATATAATCAACAGGTCTCACAAAACAGTGTTTCAAGTCACTACTTTCTGCATCAAAACAAGCAGATCATATATATTTTTGGATCTTGCCTCAATATGCAAAATAATGCTGAGTAGCCTATTTCCCCCCAGGATCAAACATTATAGACATGCTACATATTGCAAAGACATTTGCATATTATACTTAGTGAATGTGCCCAATACCAGAAGCTATAGGGACTCCTCATTTAATGACCAAGTTATGGTCCTGAGACTATGTTGTTCAATGAGCTGGCCTCTAAAGCAGGGCTTATATATGGTAGGTGCATCACAGTTTTCAGGCTCCAATTTGATGACTGTTTTTATTTGCATAATCTTTACCTGCAGGACTGTAATGTATAACAGAACATAAAACCTCAGTACTGTACTACACTGTAGTGTACAGTATAATTAGTAAAACTTAAAGTACTGTACAAACAAGGTACACTGTACAAAAGGACATTGATGCTGGACAAACAAGATGTACAGAACTGTATCAAAAAAAGAAAGGCCATAAGTCCAAATAGTCATTAAACAGGTCATTTTTAAAAACCTGTATTTAGTACGGAGTCTACAGGGTCTCACTACACAGATTGGACTCGTAGTGATCCTTCCTGTTTTTCAGCCTCCCAAGTGCTGGGATTACAGGTGTGCACCACCACGCCCAGTCTCAGTCACTGATCTCAGTGTGTCCCAGGGGCGGGGTCAGCACAGCAGGCCAGGGATGGAATCCCTGGCACCTTTGTCTGCCTAAGTAGCTGCTTTAATTCACTGAGCTACCTGGCCGGCCCCGACATAGGTCATTAAATGAGGAATATCTCTATTTATACATTCCTGGATATTCATGATTACCTTGCTGTGGGTGAAGATTTTGAATATGAAGAGGGTACTCAAATACAACAGTGGACACAGCAAAGCCTTTTGTCTTGTGGAGCAGCGCCACAGGAAATATGCCACCAGCATGATCCCCAAGAGCACACCGCAGCACACTGTCATTGACCATGGTCACGTTACAAGCAGTGCCACTTATCATCACTGAAATTTCTGAGATAGCGGTACCGAAGTTAGATCCAGTAATCTCAATTTCGGTTCCTGGTGGACCTTAAGAAGAAGAAAATGATATAAATATAGATTTAAATCCAACACTTACACATGTATTCAAAGATATCTCTCTCCATTTTTGTAAATAAAATAATATGCATTATTTTTTGTTGTTGTTGTTGTTGTTGTGGATGTTTTTCTGTTTTATACCTGACCACTCTACAGAGTTTTACATTTTTAATTCAGCACAGAAGCAGAAAGCAAAAAGGAGAGCTAGAGTTACGAAGCACGAATGTCTGGACTGGAGTATACTTTGAGGATGAGGTTTACTAATCTTTATTTTTGGTAGTTTTTCAGAATTGACTGTATCATTCTTAAGCCAAATATTTTCAACAAGTGTAAGTTGTGAATTGCATGTAAATAATTAAGTGTAAAGTAGTACCAAAAAAAGAACTAATTTAAAGCTGTTGATGTTAAGGTTTTAAATGAACATAAAGAGAATATACATTTAATCAAGAATTTCAACTTATTCTGCTTCTTCTTTTGACAAACGTAGAATAAAGGCATTAAAGTGTGTAACTTTTCATCAGTCATCTAAATCAACACCTACATTGCTAAGTTTTAAGAGATCAGACAGTAATTGCCCCAACTTGCTACAAATGCCTGACCCTCGAGTAGGAATTTGATTTTAATTCAAGTAGTAAGTATAAGAATTACCATATAATTGACTATAGTGGGGATTACCAAAATGTAAATTATTATATTTACAAATCATTATTATAATGACTATAAATATTAATGAGACATTTTGTGCTAGGGTTAGTTTTAATGGACACACTAAAAATTGCTTTATGAATCTTAAAATGTTCATTTAACATTTCACCTTTCAAATGGGACAGTGTGCTAAGTGTGATGGATTCTTTGTCTTTTCAGTAAATTAAACAGTTCAGGTGTCACTTGCCTAAAAATCTTATATCACATCTAAACTGTAAAAGACAGTCTAAGATACAGATGAGAGAAGAAACTGGTTCATGAAAATAAGGAACTAATGTCAGTATTTTCCATGCCTCCAAATTTATGAATATGTCATTTCTGTTGTTAACATTTGTTTCTAAATAAGACTTGATGTATTAAAGAAAATTTTAACAGTAAATTTCTAAAGGCAGAGAGTAGATCTTACCCAAACCTAGTACATTTCCTGGCATATAAATAAAAGCATTTGATAAAAGCCAACATTTACTGAATTCTTTATTAATTATACTTTTCTTTACTTTTTACTATATAGGTACCTTAAAAACTTATGTAAACAAATAAACGAAACTTTCCTAAAATTTTAGGAAGTAGAAAAATATTGAATTTGCACCCAAGTCTCAATGGAACATGCTTCAACCCTTACCCAACAGCTAGAATTCACTACATTGACGATAAACATCCCAGTAGCTTGAATATGAGTAGAAACAGCATAGCATAATTAGCATAGTAATCAAGGACAAAGAGGACATCTTAACCTAAGCTTATAAAAGTGTGATGCTAAATAATCTAACCAAATCTTATTATATAGCATTTCTTCATCTAGATATGTCAACTACCTCATTACAAAAGAACTGTCTAATATCAACAATATCAACTGGAGATTCATGGAGACAAAATATTCTAAAATTAACCACATTAGAAAATCATGTACTCATGAATTTTAACAGTTGTTTCTCCTGCTGTATCAACACTAATGATAAGAACGTATCCATTTTGATCTATAGATATGCATGCATTTTTTTCCTCATTTGAAATTTAGGTTAAGCTAAAGGTGATTTTGTTTCTAAACAGTAGTCGGAACTTGACTAAAAATTTTATCTTAAGAACTTTCAAAACATAATCTTAAAATGAGACTTCTCAGAATTTGAATTCCAATTATTAATTGGGTTAAGTAAAACTGTATAAAAATCACAATACACACACACACACACACATATATATATATATATATATATATATCTCCAAGCAATGGATCAGCAAATACACTAGATGAGGCTCTCTACATGCATGTTTCTGAAGCCTGCCCTTTCACTGGATGGCATTTGGCAGCAACAGTCACCATATTTTTTATTACGCCTTGTAAAAATACTTACAAGAGAGGACTTCTAGAACTGCTTCAGAAAGAAGTAAGAACAATGGAATAAGTGAGTTTGAAGTAAGGGGGATTCATAGCCATGTGTTTTTTACTGTAATAATTTTTTCATGTAAACAGCCACTGTGTATTTTGATCACACCTTATATTTATGGATTTTATTGTAACTCTCTACTAATAAATACTGAAAATACAACACCAAAAAAATAAAAAGGTAGGTAGGTATCATTGTAATACCTGTGTTTGGGGTAATTCCTCTGAGAAATGGGGTATCCTCCACAGTGTACGTGAATGATAAAGGAGGGTAAGGCGCTCCATTCACCAAGATCTGCAGGTCGACCTTTCCCGCTCCCCCTGCTGGGGTGCTACAGTGGACCTCGCTGGAGTTGGCAAGCATAATCTGACAGGGGCCCTCCCCAACCCTGACCATGGTATTGTCAAGGAGGAAACCATTCCCTATGATGACTAAAGTAGTTCCACCACCAAGGCTTCCGGAGGTTGGGGAGACAGATGCAATCATGGGGCTGCTGACGGTCAGGTTTCCCAGAGCCAAGCCTTTAGTGCCTACCACTACTCTGACAGGATGAAGTCCAGCTGGGAGGGAGGACACCAGAACAGTCATGTTATTCTCATTCACGTCCACTGGCCTGAGCTGTTGATTTTCAATGAAAACAGCAATGTCTTCCACTGTAGTCCCCAAACCTTCTCCTTCAATAAAAACTTTTGCAGGTTCTGTGATAGTGCTTGGGGAGATTCCTGTTATGGAAGGAGTGATGCTATCAGAATAGGAAAAGCTGCAGCTCCCCTGACAGAGACCAGGCACCCCGTGAGTCAGAAGCTGCACATTCACAAGCTGCTGGGGTGCAGGGGAGGTTTCACATTCGATGGTTGTATAATTCACTGTGAGAACTTTACATGGGAAGTGACCCATAAAGACCTCAACACCTGCTGAAGAAACTGCAAACCCAGAGCCCAGTATGGTCACCCTCGTCATTCCTGTCGTTGACCCTGCATTTGGCCACACCATGTTGATGTTCGGCAAGAGAACAAATCGTCTGTCAAATTCATTGGACAAGGTGTTGATAGCAGTGCCAAGGTTGTAGACAACCAAAGTGACAGACTCTCGGATGCCAACCTGCATGGAGTTTTGAGGGTCAACACGGCACATGATAGAATTGGCACTACTTTCTTCTACAACACAAGGGTAGTGACCAATTGTAACCTGAAAGCAAATAGGAAATGAGGCAAATCACCACATTATTTCAGTATGAACTTAAATTTTGTATTAGCAGCAACTATAATTTTAAAAGGCTAATTCTGTGGAAATTTTTCTATTCATAAAGTTGATACCAGGAGCTCATTACAACATATACTAAAATAACTTTTAGATTAAATTATGATTGTTTACATGTTCATGACTATGTTATTCATGATAGCCCAGAAGGGAAAATAACCCAAATATCCATCAATTGATGAATAGATAAATAAAATATGGTACACCATAACAATGGAACATTGTTCTGCAATAAAAAGAAATGACACAGTGGATAAACCTTTATCTTGGCACAGTGGATAAACCTTGCAACGTTAGGTAACATAGGAAGAAACCAGGCACAAATGAAACACATACTGTATGGTTCAATTGGTAGAAATGTCCAGAAAAAACAAAGCCAAGGGATGAAAAGAAGATTGGTGATTGCACTGAGTTGGGATGATGGAATGGTGGCCATGAGGTCAAAGGTGTGGAAGCTTCTTTCTATGTGTTAGACTTTGTGTCTAGTTGTCCCCCCAAAGCCTCATGTAAGTCATGGGGTGGAATTCTAGAGTTTGTGATTAACTCATGGTCCACTGGGATTATGGGTGTGAGTGCTGCTGGGATTATAGGTGTGAGTGCTGTACCCGCCTGAGGCAGGTAGCCTGAATGCAATTTAATGGAGACAGACTCACTCTCTGTTGCTATTGTTGTCCCTGCTCCTCCCATTTGCTCTTTAAAAAAAAAAAATGTATTTAGTACAGGGTCTACACGGTACAGGGTCTCGCTGTGTAGCTCAGACTTGTAGTGATCCTCCTGTTTTCAGCCTCCCAAGAGCTGGGATTACAGGTGTGCACCACCACACCCAGTCTCCATCACATCTCAGCACCCCCAGGGGCGGGGACTGTCCCCCCGACATGGCCCACAGGGATGGAACCTGGCCACTGTGCTCTGCCCAAGCAGGTGCTTTAGTTTCCATTTGTTGTTGCTGTCTTGCTGCTTTCCACTGCTCTGAACGGCTGCCCTCTGCCCTGTGCCACTCTGCCTTGGAGCCAGCCAAGTATGCACTGAAACCTCCACTAACCAAAAGCTAAATAAACCTTTCTTTCCTTAATTCTGGGAGTTGGGCATTTGTCCCAGCAACAAGAGAAAGTAACTGAGACAAATGGTAAAGAAAACATCCTAGGACCGAGGGCCTTCTGGATCCTGAACAGACCCAGAGCGCAGGCCCGGCAGTGAAAGAGATGACTGAGGCCGCGGGATCCTGATCAGACC